ACAAAAAAGTTAAAATGGGTACAAAACGGATCCGAACCACCAACGTTGAGATTAACAGGCTTGTGTCTTCACCACTGGTCTATCAGCGCTTAGGAGAATGGAAAGGCTAAAGGAAAACAAGAAGCGCTCATAGTGTGGTTACTATTTTTTTGTCCATGCATGATACAAAAAAGAGAAGTGAAGGTAAAAGATGCGATAGGATTTGTTCACAGGGATTACTGTCGGCTTCTCTTCGTCAATGACGAAGGATGTATGGAAATGATGGTTTTTGTACCGCGACAATTTATTTTTGGTTTTCGTCAAACGTCACTGACCAAACTGACCGTTACCAACTCTGTATGGCTGTTTATGAAGCTTCGGAGCGCGTTCAGTTTCGTGGGGATCGTGATGGTGCCGATGTTGGTGGACGGGATGTTGTATGACGTGAGACCCATTTATAAGCGATTGTGCTCGTCCCTCTCGTCGTCGTCGTCGTCATCCCGGCGGGGTTTTTTACTGGCTGGTTTTCCTCGACTTCGTCTACTACTCGTGGAAGCGGAGGATTCATCGGTTTCGTTCCCGTTGCTGCTTCTTCTCTGCAATCGCAGCGCATTTTCTGGCATTTTGAACACGTCATCCAAAACCACGATAACTTGTGGTGGTGTTAGGAACGAACTTGACGGATTGTGCGCTCGTTTTATTTGCACAGAACCTGCTGCAGGCTGGCTGCGTGTGCTTGTTTTCGTTCCTGATAATTCACTCTGGCTCTTCGGCAGTTCGGGGAAAACGTCTGACTCTAACGATGGCGGAGTAGTGGATTTTTGACCGACTAGTTTCGTGCTTGGTGGTTTCGCACCAGCTTTTTTGGGTTGCTGACCGGTTGTTGACCTATTGGCCCGTCCAGTATGCTTCGTGACGTTCGCGTAGCTTTTCTGGTACAGTAGCTTTTTGTTCTGGACACATGATATGCCAGTGTGCGCTTGCTCTTTGCAGTGGCGGCAGGATTGCAGCTGTCCCTTGTAAACAACGAACGCTTGCTCTCCATCGACGGTGACCCACGAGTCAATGTTCCGCTTCACTAGCATACGAGCAGACCATATACCGAGCGGTATGCCTTCACATTCGTTGCTCTCACCCCACGATACCTCGTGAACTGAGATCACTTCCCCGAACGCACTTAGGAAACTAAAGACTTTCTCTTCAGGCACATATTCGGGAAGGTCGTAAACCCGCACTTCAACACGAAGTTTGTGTTTCTTCCCCTCACACTCCACTTCATGCTACCCGTCGTGTTCGTCAACGACTTTTTGTGCCAGCGTCAAGTCACTGACTTTGACGAAGGCACATGCTCCACCTCTGTGGCACTGAAGTCTTTTAATGTCTTCCCTATTTAGACCGAGAATCGAACGACAAAAACCATAGAGTTTTTCGACCGACGGTTTGACGGAGAACTGCGAATAGTCAATCTTAAAAGTGTTTTCTCGCCTCATCGCGAAACACTTTTGCACGCGACGCGGCGCAGCGGATAGAAGGGTATCCAAAACGTAAATGCTTCACTAGTGATAAGCGCACTCGAGAAAAACGTCTGCACTTCTCAGAAGCTGAGCGATAACTGCAGTTCCATTCTATAAAATCAAAGCACACATTTCAAGCGATAGAACCGCAATCCAACCTGGCTTCAAAAAAATCTACCATCGCGAGTGAACTCAAAAAGGTCTATTCTATAAAATCCAAGCATGTTTTTCAAAGGACGGAGCCAAAATCCAACTTGCCTCCAAATTTCTATAAAAATACGTACTGTTTTAAACCTCAGTTTTCTTAACAATTGTGCTTGCTTAAAACAATCTACCATCAGGTATGAACACGCGAGGGTCCATTCTTCAAAATCTCAGCCTAATTTTGAAAGGATGTGAATCTCACAAGAACGAGGAAGGGGTCTAGGGAAGCGCTTAGTTAAAAGTTAGGTAAATCACTTTAGGAAAGCTCAGACTAACACTAAACATAATTAAATCACTCAACAGAAAAGTTTGGACTTCCTAAGGAAGGTATTGAACCACTTCAGAAAATGTTGAACTCTGTTTGGAAAATTTAAGCTCAAAAAAGTGTCGGTTCACTTCGGAAAACTTTCTACACTTTTTGGAAAGCTAGTTAACAAATATCTGGAGCTCACTTAGGAAAATGTCAAACCCGTTCTGACAAGTTTGGTTTCAGTTCGGAAAAAGTTGAATCATTGCAGGAAGAATTCATTTAGGAAAGGGATTAAATCAGCTAATGTGGCCTCACTCCAGAAAATGCGAAACCAATTCTTTAAAGCTTGGGTTTGGAATATGTTTGATCACTCCAGGAAAGCTTTGACAACTTAAAAAGGAATGAATAACATAACAGAAAAGTGTAGACTCAGATAGAAAAATGTTGATGACTTATTCGAAAGTTTGAACTAACTTCAAAAAAGTTCAGACTCAGTTTTGAATCTGCTTTGAAAAGTGTCACCACAGTTAAGAATTCCCTGAATCGTTTCTGATTTGGTCTCACTTCTAAAAATGTTAAGAGTTTGAGAAGATTGGATTTAGCTCGTTTGAAAGATTGTTTGAAAAGATTGGATTTAGCTCGGAAATTGTTGAATCACTGTAGAAAGGAATTATATGGTTGGGTTGGTTGTCTTTATTAAGGAGATTTTCAGCCAGACGCTGGTTCATCTCCGGAGGAATTATATCATTAAGTAGCATTGCAGCAGGTTTGTAAGTTAAGAAATTTAGATCGAATGTAAAAATCGGGCGACTACGGTGGGCTGGGCACATCGTAACAATGTCGGATAACGACCCAATGAAAATGGTTCTTGGTAGCGACTCGACTGGAACGAGACGAAGATGTGCGCAGCGAATCGATCAGATTGAAAGCGGGTTAATTTAATGAGTTACCAAACAAGATTAGGAATGATGTTCGATGAAACCCGTTTTGAACAACTGAAACCGGCTGATCCGATTTTAAGGGCCTGACATGCCGTACTGGTCTAGTACAGTCAGGAATCCTTATTGCCGGATCCTTATTGCCGGGCTATCCGCGATTAAGGCTTATGGGATTTTCACTAATGGGGGCTGTAGTGGATTATCTCATTTGTTTCAATACATAAAGCTATACTGTCTTCGACAAAGTTGCTGTACTGGGTTAGACCAACAAGCCTGTGCCATTGGATTCAGGTTAAATTCGGAACTACGCCGCTAGAGGCGCTTCACTTTTATGTTACTTATGACGGGCGCTATAATATATGGATCATATTTCCAACATAGAATATTTCCTGATCCTGACCATATAGAAAGTTACTGTCTCGAGCAAAGTTGTTCAGGTGACCAAGTCCTTTCGGATGGTGGCCATATTAGTTCAGAACTCTCTCACTACGCAGCGCTAGTGTGCATGTGCAATTCCTATATAAACTGTATCTCGAGAGCCTGGCCATATAGAAAGTTGCTGTTTTCAGCAAAGTTGTGCAGGTGATCAAGTCCTTTTGGATGGTGGCCATATTAGTTCAGAACTCTCTCACTACGCAGCGCTAGTGTGCATGTAGCAATTCCTATATAAACTGTATCTCGAGAGCCTGGCCATATAGAAAGTTGCTGTTTTCAGCAAAGTTGGGCAGGTGATCAAGTCCTTTTGGATGGTGGCCATATTAGTTCAGAACTCTCTCACTACGCAGCGCTAGTGTGCATGTGCAATTCCTATATAAACTGTATCTCGAGAGCCTGGCCATATAGAAAGTTGCTGTTTTCAGCAAAGGTGTGCAGGTGATCAAGTCCTTTTGGATGGTGGCCATATTAGTTCAGAACTCTCTCACTACGCAGCGCTAGTGTGCATGTAGCAATTCCTATATAAACTGTATCTCGAGAGCCTGGCCATATAGAAAGTTGCTGTTTTCAGCAAAGGTGTGCAGGTGATCAAGTCCTTTTGGATGGTGGCCATATTAGTTCAGAACTCTCTCACTACGCAGCGCTAGTGTGCATGTTGCAATTCTTATATAAACTGTATCTCGAGAGCCTGGCCATATAGAAAGTTGCTGTTTTCAGCAAAGTTGTGCAAGTTGCACATGCACACTAGCGCTGCGTAGTGAGAGAGTTCTTAACTAATATGGCCACCATCCGAAAGGACTTGGTCACCTGAACAACTTTGCTCAAGACAGTAACTTTCTATAAGGTCAGAATCACGAAATATTCTATGTTGGAAATATGATCCATATATTATAGCGCCCGTCATAAGTAACATAAAAGTGAAGCGCCTCTAGCGGTGTAGTTCTCAATTTAACCCAAATCCAATGGCACAGGCTTGTTGGTCTAACCCAGTACAGCAACTTTGTCGAAAACAGTATAGCTTTATGTATTGAAACAAATGAGATAATCCACTACAGCCCCCATTAGTGAAAATCCCATAAGCTGTGGGTATCCTTATTCGCGGTTCCTTATTCACGCCCCCGTTACCCCGGCAATAAGGATTCCTGACTGTACCAATTTATGTAAAAAATCTGTAAAAGGACAAGGTGATATTCTACAACATAATAAAATCTAGTAAAGCGAGTATCCACACCCAAACGAATGAGCGACACTCGAAAAATAAATATGCACTGAAATTTGTTTTCCCCCCCTTTGTGATATTCCAAGCTTTTGAAGGGGATGCAAAAGAAAAACTTGAAATTTGTTCCGGCCTAATTAATTTATCAGTAAAAATAGAAGCTCCGAGCTCGCCCGATGCCTCCGGAGGACAGAATACTCGTGCGTTATTTATTTTGTCCACGGTCCGAGGAACTTCGCCAATTCAACAACACAACGTCCGGTCGATCTTGCACGACACATTGTATTTCCTTAATTACCATTGAAAACTTGGCCTTTCATTTCGCTGAAACCTCAGGCCAAGAATCTCTGTTACCCAATAAACTTGCTGATCACAGGGGTTGATGTGATTGTCTGAGTTGAGCAATCTTAGGTCAAGCCCATTTCTCTAACAATTAAACGCATTTGTCGGGTTAAAATTGATGCTTTTTAATCGGTCTAGTTTATTCTTCCATTCAATCGTAGTATTATATCATACAATTTTGCTTCTGTTTACATTTTTTTTTTGCTTTTCATTTTTGGGTTGCGAATCTTGCGTTATTAAATCTCAAAAGTGATCCATTTCTATTTTACAATCAATTTCCCTACATTTCAATATTGGTTGCTTGATAAAACTTAAATAAGTTTGATTCTTTTAACTCTACTATTTCTTTTCGCTCTTTCTATTTGTAGGTTGTATCATTCTTGTATGCTCCATATAAGTCTAATAAATTATAAAAGTTATTTACACAGGAGGTGAATTGATTTACAAATTAAAACCTTAACACTTAAGGAGACCATTGTAACTTTGAATTTGATTATGCTAACTGTCAGTGAGAGGAAAATGCCCAACTGATGTGCTTGTTTCGTCAATTTCACCATTTTTCTGCTATGATACACTATTTACAGGGAAAATTATAAGATTCGTTAAAACAAATTAAAACGATAAAGTACGATTGGCTAGATTTGTGAGGCTACCAACAGAAAACAATCTCTCTGTTTCAAATAAATTAAAATAATATCTTTGCATGCATGTGGAACTTAGGATTAGAAATCGTAACCGAAACTTAAGTGTTGCCACCCTATATCTGCACTGAAAAAAAATTGCGATGGTCTTTTAGGAACCGCGAGCGAGAAACTGAACTGAATCCTTAAGGTACAACAACCTTCGACAACAGGTTGAAAGCAATTTCTGTTTTTGATGGAGGAGGAAAATGAGCCTACGGGCTATCGTGCATGCTGTCGTCGCTTTCCAGATATGTCACGTACGAATCGGTACTGTCCGGGTGGTGGCCACTAATGTCCATGTGGGAGGTAATCGGTGGACCCTGGCCTTGCTGGGGCATCTGCTGCATCCCACCACCGCCACTGACGTCGTAGCCGTGCATCTGTGGACAAAAGAAATGGAAATTGTTAGCTGTTGTGCTTAACAGTTTAATTTTGCGATGGAATGAAAAAAATAATATAAATTTCAATTCACACAAAACGTAGAAGTGTTTGAATATTTTGCTACAACCTAATAAGTGGTTCTAAACTAGGTTCTGCAACTTTTCCAACTCCGAAATCAAAAGTTTTCAAAACTTGCACACCCCAACTTAATTTCAAACGCTATGTTGCTTTTTCAGATATCATCACTTCGTTCGCTAGAAGAAGGAATGCGTTCGTTTTAAATATTTCATGGTTTAATATGGCTGCGGTGTCCTATCCTCCCTTGCAGCAATCGCTTCGTCGTCAACTCTGCACTGACAACTGCAAAAAATACGGAATTTTACGTATTTCGCCTTCAGCCTCAGTAGGACTTTCAGATATAGGCACTGGAAAAGGAATGGCTGCTGGTAGGTACCTACACTGAATACGATGCGATGCCATCATGTTTCCATACTATCATCAGCAGTCGTGCAACGGAGATAGCCGCACAGGTGAGTCGCTCCAAGCCAGAAGGAGACAGATCCACAAACATTATATTTATATTATTTATGTAAAGCCATATAGCGCTGAGTTTAGTTTGTCCCCTTCTCCTGCTACTCGCATTCTTCATGAATATGATCCCAAAAAAAAAACTCCATAGCCGCTGGATTGCAGCGTGGTCTCGCTGCGGTTGAATGGAGACGAATAAATTTGCACTTTTTACATGTTTCCATATTGGTCTTTCGCCGTTCGTCTGTATTATTGAATTTGGCGTTTTCAGTTCTTTCCTGCGGATTATGAAAATTATGGTGTCGTACAACGTACCTGATTGACTAGGTGCTGGAACGCAGGTGTGTGGGTGTTGATTGCACCGTTGCTGTCCAGGTCCGAGTGCAGCGCAAAGTCCGAAAGGGCCTTCCACGGTGGCTGATAGGCGGTTACTTCCAGTCCATGCATGTTCAGCGGAGAATCATGCCGTACCGGGGAACTGGCAACCATTGGGATTCCCTGCATACCGTAACCGAGTTTACGACCTTCCTGTGTGGGGTGGAGATGGGGAGGAAATCGATTAGCTAGTGAAGGGAATCTTGCAATCGGAAGAAAATTTCTATATTGGTTCAAGAGTGTAGGTCGTAACTAGAATATGTTGCAGGAAATTTTCACAATAATATAATAAAAGAAAAATTCAAATGAGATAACCGAAGTGAAGTACAAACTCCAACAAAAGCTCAAAATAGAGCAACCATAACAATGTTTTAAAAAGGTTAAAAGGCACATAAAAGGGTAAGGTAGGGAAAGTTGGTTTAGCTAGTACATTTATTAATTTATTTGTTTGTCAATATCAACAGGAGCAATACAACCCCAATGATGGCTATCTTTTTAAATCCAGCATTAGGGCAACATTAAGCAAAATCATCTTTGAAAAGGTTCCGAGCTCGTCCCGTACGGGTCGGGATTTGACAGGAAAATAGTACTTTACTAGCCCGGTTGTGTGTGGAGACCAGGGGTTGAAACGGTCGACGTTTTTTACTACACTCGCCTCGTTGTCGTGCGCGACAGTCTGTTTGTATTCGTACTCTCATGCTCTACCGTCGTCTCTCTTACATAACACAAACGGTAGAACAACATTCGAGCAAAAAGAAAATTCGTTTTAATTCCTCAATTTGGTGAAAATTTAACCATTTCTGATCAGAAATTTTATTACTAGGACACCGTTGTTTGCTATTTTCGGAATTCACACAAGCACAACAGCAGCAGCTCTTATTATGAGAAAAAATAAAATACATACATTCGCGACAGCCTTCGGTGGCAGTGTCGTATGACAGAGTCTGTCATATGACATTTTAGTTTGGTACTGTAATTTGATAGCTTGGTTTGCAAAGGCAGTCGATTATCACAGAAAATGTGTCGACTACGGTGACCGCTTACAATACTGGTGCAGACTCCTTTATAAAGCAGTGATGCTTAATCTTTAAACACATCACTGCCAGATGTCAAAAAAGTGAGGTTAACCCGACGGTGCAGCTCCCTATTGGTTTGAGCTTGAGCTTGAGCTTGAGCTTGATTGACCGCCCACGGTTGCTACTCTGTTATTGCCAGATCAGCTGTAATTACACAGAGAACCAATAGACGATGCTTGGGACTAGCAATCATCCTCAATGTGTAAAAACTGGTGATCTTAAATTAGGCAATACCAGCGCCGGCCGCGCCCGAACACAGGTCAAGAAAGGAATGGGAAGGATTGTGTTGACATGACACTCGCTTTGATGGAAGCCGAGAACACCTCTGCACTTCCACGAGGAATCACTGGGATGTTGGATAAGAGGGTTGGGTTTGCAGCAGGGTTCGTTTTGGTAAACGATAAGCTGAATTGATTTCCTAACGATCATATAACGCGAAGGAGCTTGGGACTAAACCCACGGTCTTCTGCTCAGTAAGCAAAAACGTTTGCCACTAGGCAGACGAGCACCTTTTTAATCACCGAGTTGCTGTTATTACCATTACCATATTAACAAATAAAACGATTGACGAATCTTGAATGTGGATGGGCTTGAGATTAGACTCATGATGTTCTGCTCAGTAAGCAAAAACGGTTGCTCTAAGGCCACCGAGCCCCTCATATCACATAATACCGTTGCTCAACTTTTTGTATCCATTCAAACCCGGAACCAACGACAACAACGAGTTTCGCAAAATACACGATACACAAGCGATTTTACCATAAATCTCTTTGATATGTAAGGACCTGGGACCGCGTTTTTCTGCTCAGTAAGCAGGCCACTGTAACCGACGATCTTTCAAATCCGAAAACTAAAAACTACGAAAAAGTACTTAGGCCTTCATTAAGTTCCACTTTCACGCGACGTTCAATGACAGGGTCCTATCCAGGATTACATCTAAAAAATCCAAATCTGGCCAACGCCCACCTAAACCTGTTCTAATCCACCTGAAATGACTAACGAATGGAAGACTTTGACTACCCAGCCATGCAATAGTCTCATTCCGTGCCTTATGGCAACTTGATGATTCGATTGCGCTCATCTTCTGGCACCACCCAGGGGAGACTTGGTTCTGTACCCAATGCTTAACTTATCTCCATTACACTCAGCTACTCGCAATTTCTTGTGATATAGTGGGCGGAATATTATTATAAGAGACAATTCAATGCAGACGTCTTTCCAAATTTGGCAGATCGACAGGTAATCGGTGAGTTACCACGATAGTCGCTATTCAACAACTCGCAACGTCCCATCGTCAACGCCTGCTATGAGAATTTCCCATTGCAGACGCCAATGAAATGATGTCATCGAGCTATCGATCAACTACCCTGGTTATCGCCTGGTACCTTATAGCACGATGCTAGGAGGCGAACCGGAAGAATCGATGAGCTACATCCCCCGGTGCAGCTCCCTATTGGTTTGAGCCAACTAAGGACCAAAACGGGATAAAAAAGAAGTCCCTTAAAAAACATAAAGGAACGATAACCCAAATGGTAGAACTGTTCCACAAATGGATTGGATGATACTCGGAACATATGTATATGTATATTTGGCATCACTGAGTACTAGTTGTCTCTCTCATACCGCCGCAAATCCATTCAGGACGACACAAGCTCGGTTTTGTCGGGAATCAGTTTAAAATCGGGTTCTCTGGAAGGGTGAAAAATCATAATCACAGAAAAAATACCGAAAAGGAAACGGAATTACCGACTGTCACTACCGAGTGAGAAGAAAATATCATGGCTACTTTTTTTTCGAGAGATTTGCATTGCTTGAACAAAGTTCTCTCACTCTTGCTTTAACTTTTCATTCTCTGTACGGACCAGTGTTCACTCGGCTGTCGACAGAAGCAGGCCACTCTCGATGTGTGTCAAGCGATCGTCTGTTTACTTAGCAGCAACCATTGGGAGTTATTCCGAGAGTCGAAGTGGCTTTTAAAGTGAAATCAGTCACGTCGTGGTGACGTGGCTCTCTGTGTAAATCAAATGAATAGTCACGTCACCACGACGTGACTTTTCTCACTTCACTAGTGACAAAAGTCACTTCGACTTGTGTGGTCCTCCACATTGTTATTCATCAGCAGTTCTTTCGGTCGATGCTCCGTCGACTTTGGAAAGCAACCGTTTCGTGATGAGAGTGTGAGTGATGACCATGTTTTACGTCCATTGTTGCAATGGAAGCGTTCTGCCCCCCGTTGGCGATACTACCATACAACGAAACCACTGGAAGCGGATTCCGTTCTGATGGAGGAGGGTTATTGGATAGCGGAAGATATAGTGTTTATTGAGCTATATCTTTTGACCATAGTTTTACGATGTTGTGTATAGTGAAGAAGAATCATCGGCTCTGTAAAGTTAATTCGATTGAGCCTTATCAAAAAAGTTAATTAACAAACAAAATTCTCTGTACGCAAGAAAAGTACCGTTTCTCTTCTCACATCAGCGATAATTTCTATCTCTGATCGTAACATTAAGCACACCAGCCGGATTGTTTTCAAACTTATCGGTATCTTAGAATTCTAACTGGTTTCCAATTTGTTGTAGCTGTTGTAGGTAAAACAAATTAAGGTTAAACCCGTCTCTTTACTTGGAGACCATTAATTGTTATTCGTGATAAATCAACGTTAAAAATTCTTTCTAAATTTTAACCATCTCGTTAAGAAAATTTAAAGAATCTTACATTGAACTCATTTTATCAGTTCACAAAAAGATGATATCTTTATTTTATTTACACATTTTTAGTAGCAAATTTTGGAGCCAAACTCGCCAGTACTATTGTACATCAAAATTGGACCCCTACACGGGTAAAAATCCGATTCCATTTTCATGAATAAAAAATCAAGAAATGAGAAAACTTTCCATCCCATGAAATCATTAAAATGATTCATGATTTCGGGATGGAAATTCATGATTTCATAATGCAGCGGAATCATGACCGCTACAAGCGTTACCTGGTAAACCGTGTTCACCGCACTACATAGGTATCTCTTATACGCCTTTTGCCTTCCCTTATACAAGTACTGATAGTCTAGTGGTCAAAGTATGGGTTTAATGATCGTAAAGTTCCTGGCTCGAATCTAGTCTGATGCTTTATTTTGTTTTTTTTTTTTACATTTTTACTCTAAAGCTAAATGTTAAATTTATGAATTTAGTTCCTGATTTTAACTCGAATGATTCATGATTTAGGGAATCTTGGGTGCGTTACGCAAACATAGCTCATGATATCATGAATATTAATTATGGTGTATTTTCATAACATAAAAATACGCTATGTTCATGAAATCATGAGCCATTTTTCTTATTTCGGAAATTGGATTTGTTCCCGTGTATTAGATTATAGCAAAGTTCTTGAGCAAAGATTTTTTTTAAGTATTAAAAAAAAACTAGGGTTTTTAAGACTCTACCCAAGTAACCAAAAGTTCCGCATTCAAGTTCCATAAGTTTAAAAAAAGTTCCGACAGAACTTTCTTCCCAAGCGACCAAAAGTTCCGCATTCAACGATAAAAACCCACTTTCAAGTTCCATAAAGTGCACATAAAGGCACAACTCTTGCGTGATCAGAGATGTTATGCATCAGAACATCCCATTTGCGCCGACTGGGATTAAACCCAGGCCTGCTGGGGTGACAGGTAATCACGCTTACCACTACACCACCGGCGCTGCTAAGCAGAAATATTATTATTATATCAATGATTTCAACGTAAACGAATATATTATATGTTTGGTACGATAGTTAAGTTCAAAAGCTACAAAACAAAGTTTATAAGAACGCATAATATGAATATTTAAATCCATTCTTCTCAAAAACAAGAGGAGTGCTCCTAGCAAATCCATTTTATCTTAAAGCTTACAGTAAAAGTATGGACGTCTGTCAAAAGTTGTTCCAATCGAACCGTCAAAATGCACCACTTTGCTCGATTGGAACAGCTTTTTTCAGTTCTGTGGTGACAGTCGTATGCCGAAAAGAATCAAGGGACATTTCAATGTGTTTAGACGGAATTGAAACTCGTATGACGAAATTGGAGCCAAAAATTCTCTCTCACGAGCTCGATCTCTCAATATGCCATGTAAAGTATTTTTTGTACCGAGGATGCAAAAAAGGAAGTTAATCTAAATGCATATATAGAGGCACCAGACATGTTTTGCAGGGTCAGGTACTCTATGTTGTAGTCTGTGAAAGAGATGTATAGGCTTCTTGACTACGCTGTCCTCTATGAACAACTAAAGGTCCGTTTAGACTATCTGATTTTGATTGCCGCCATAGTGAAAAATCTGCTCGATTTTACTTTCAACACGCTTTGGCGAACTTCCCTGTTTGTTGGTGATGCTTGCACATGTCGAAAGAACTGTTAATTTAAATTTAAAAAAATGCATAAGGAATCAAAAGTAAATACTACCGCACAGGCGCATTTGCTTTAATTATTTTAAATAAAATGAGAAGGAGAAGATGAAGAGTTGTAAATGGTTGCTCAGGAGGAACACCGGCAGGGATCTGGCTCATCTTGTCCTTCAAGAACTGCGATTTGAAGACAAAAAAGGATTTCAAAACTTCGCCAGGAAAAAGCTAGTGGGAAAAGTTCTCTATAAATCCACATGGTTCCTTGAGTTCTGAAAATTTCTGTTATGATCTTAATTCTGCATATTTCTCTGAAGACCTTCGGACGTCCCTAAAGTTTTGTTTCTGTTCTCTGGTAAAATATCTTTGAAGATCAACAAACTTTCCTGAAGGTCTGCAAATTTCTCGGTTGTTCTGCAGATTTCTTAGAAGTCCTGTGTGTTCTTCAGAAGTTCTGTAAATTTCTCTAAAAATCTACAAAGTTCCTGAATCCATGCAGATTTAAAATCTTTAAATTTCAACAATTATCTCTGATGTTCACTAAATTTCTTATAATCTACAAACTCCTTAAAAGTTCTGTAATTTTCTCTGTAGATTTTCATAATTCAAAAAATATTTCAAGGAAGTTCTCTGAAGATTTACTGATTTTTCTGAAGTTGTGAAAATATCTCTAAAGATCAGCGAACTTCCCTGAAGTTTTGTAAATTTTTATTAAAATCTTACCTTAAAATCTTACAAAAATAAAATTCTGAAAATTTATTTAAACATCTGCACATTCTTCAGTAGATTTGCTATCATCCCTCTAAACTTTTCTGAAGTTCCTAAAATTTCTGAAGTACTGTATTTCTGCTCTGAAGATCTACGAACTGCCCTGAAGTTCAATAAATTTCTCAGTAGATCTCAGAACTAAAATTTCTTTGTGGATTCTTGAACTTCCATAAAGTTCTAAAAGTTGTACTTCGCTGAGATCTGTTTCCTGAAATTTTACGAATTTTTCTGAAGATCTCAATTTTTTTTCTGAAACTGTCAAGTTTTCTAAACTACTGAATGTCTCTGAAGATCTGCAAAATTCCTTGCAGTTCTACAGATTCCTCTTGATATCTACTCTTCTGAAGTTCTGCAAATATCTTTAAAGTTATGTAAAGTTGTTTTATTCTCAAGATCTACCTATTACCTTGAGGCTCAATAAATGTCTCAGTAGATCTGTAAACTTGTCTGAAGTTTTGTAAACTCCTCTGTACGCTCTCGGGCTACCTTGAACATCTTTAAATTTCCCTGAAGATCTTCTAAATTATCTAAAGTTCTCCAAGTTTATATTAAAATAGTTGAGCTACATTAAAGTTTTAAAAGTTTCTCTGAAGATTTACAAATTTTCCTGAAATCATATGAATACTTTATTTAAAATCACCAAACTTCCCTGAAGTTCCACTGAAGATCCATTAAAATTTCTGAGATTCTAAAATGTATTATACAATCACACTTTCATGAAGATCTAGGACCATTCTTGCTATTTTTTCAGAAGTTCTGTACATTTTTTCAAAGTTCTGTAGCTTTTTTTCTGAAGATCTACGAACTTTTCTGATGTTCAACAATTTTTCAGTAGATCTCTAAACTTCTGTGAAATTCTTTACTTTTCACTGTAGATTTTTGTCTGAAGTTCTGCGAATTTCCCTGTAGATTTGCAAAATTCCCCTTATAGTTTTACAAATTGATTTGAAAATACTTTAACTTACTTGAACATTTGAAAATTTCTTTCTTTTTGAAGATCTACGATCTCTCTTGTGATTTCTGAATTTATGCAAATTTCTTTTAATTTATGTAAAATTTTCTATAGACATAGTTCTGTTCTCAAGATATACGAACTACCCTGAAGTTCAAAAAATTTCTCCGTAAATCTCCGAACCTCTCTGAAGCTCTTAAAATTTCTTAGTAGACTCCTAGGGGAAAGACAGCTCCAAGTATCAGCATCAATACCGATGGTGGAAATATAAAAATATTCTAATATGTGTGATATTTGCGAATCTTATACTTAGTCTGACAGTTGTTTTTTGTTTTGTTTTTGGCTATTTTTGGTTTAAAGTGTACATTTGACATTCGTTTAATCAAAAATGGATTTCACACGAGAGGTAATTCATTCCTTGATGATCTTGCTGGCCACCGCCACCAAAATCCGCTCCTTTTCTAATAATTTTGGCATAATTTGGTAGCTGATTTCAGTGCACATAATCTGCCGCACTTCCGTTCCCAGGAAATAGTCATTAATTTCCACGAATTTTTCATCGTCTGCGAACCAATGTGCTGTCCTCCGATTGAACGGGAATCGGCTGACTACGCCACCCCTGTAAGCGGAGTCCCAGAGTGATGGTTCCATGATCGTATTATGCTCGATTCGCAATGAGCCTGCAACTTGGAGAGATTTGCTGCTGGGGGAACGTCCAGTACCGTTTTTTTTCATGAAAAGCCGAAGTCAAAATCGATCAGAGCTATCGAAAACAAAAATCTTGGCAAAAATGATAACCAAAAAAAAGCTGTAGTAAACATAAACAACAACGGTGAAATGTCATTGGGCCGTATGAATAAAAAGAGTTTACTTTACTTTCCCGTGCTTTTCTTACGGGAAAAGTAAAGTAAACGCTTTTATTCATACGACCTATTGAGTATATGCGTTAAAGTTACACTGTTATTTTTTTTACTTTGAAGCTTTCCGCTTGACAGCTAAAAATTATAATAACTACCAATTTCAGCAATTTTTACACCAAATATTACTTCAGATCAAGTTGTAATTCCCCTAGGTAGGCTCTCAGACCTGCTGTTTGGCATGCTTATTCTTATATAATACATGCTACGTATTATATAAACAATGTTTTATTGAGCAAGCCATGATCAAAGCCATTACGACATCTTTCTGCCAATCACACTGGAAAATAAAAATCAGTAACATCATACACAGAACAATATTGAATAGTGAAACCGGCTAGGAAATCGGTTTACCTTGCTGCTGGATGTTATCAAAACACAAATCAAGCGTTCTTTAGCGGTTCAAATTCGTGAAATTTTAGAAAACAAAATATTTTCACCACACTTGCGGGTATTTTGCTGAATGAGTCGAATGAAAACTAAACGACGAATCAAACGACAAATCTAATCATCATGTCGAAAAAGTGTGAACGCATCCAAACATTTCATCCGACAACATTATCGAGCAGTCCGTTCGAATCAGACCAACAAATCAGATAGTCTAACCATCTTAAGGCCTGTATAGAGATCGAAGCGAAGCGAAAATCTCATACAAAATACTACATTTTTCACCTGCGTTAAAAACAGATACGATCCAGCGAAATCTAATTTTGTGGATCGTATCTTTTTCGCTTACGTTTATTTTTTTTCGCGCATGCAGCGCTAGCGAAAAGAGCAGCAGCTAAGCGAAAAGTTGACGTTTCGAGAAAGAGCGTATCTGTCAGATTTTCACTTCACCGGAGGTGTAAACAGATCGATTTCGTTTCACATGAATTGTAAACTGCGAAAAAAGGAAGCTGGAAAATGTTCCACAAACATTTTTTCACGAAATTTCATTTTTTTTTCGCGAGCTTCAATTTTTGTTTCGCTTTGATCTGTATACTAGGCTTTAATGGTTAATTTGTGATTCTTTATCAAATTTAACAGTACACGGCAAATGAGAACGACTCAACTTTGAGTTTAGTTCACTCATAATCGCCAAAAGTGCAGGAACTTAGCGATGAGTAAATTTGCCTAATGTTTTCCCAGGTTTTCCCAGGTTTTTCCAGGTTTTTCCAGGATTTTCCAGGGAAAAATTCCCGAATTTGAGAAAAGTAAAGATTGGATTCACTCAGTCTATTGGTACTACTCCGAGACTGAATAAAATTTTCGTCAATTTCCTCATTTTCCGGCAGATTTTTTAGGTTTTCCACAGGAAACCGTGAGACAAATTTTACTCATCGCTGAGTTCCTGCACTTTTGGCGATTATGAGCGAACTAAAATCAAATTTGAGTCGTTCTCATTCGCCTTGTACGTTGCAAAAAAAAAAAAAAAAAAAAAAATTGTGTTGCATTAATGAAAAAGCAATGAACATAAAATGCGTAGTGAGAACAAATCTAGATAGAGCTGGAATTAGGGCGTAACAGCTTTTGTAAACAATGACTTCTCTCGATGATTTCTAGGAATTCAAGGCATGCCCACGCAAAGCAACATAACCATCGAGTAGGGGAAATCTTCTCCTACCCGATGGTGATGTTGATTTGCGTTGGCTAGCCTTCACTTTTTAGAAATCATCGAAAGAAGTCATTGTTTACAAAAGCTGTTACGCCCTAATTCCAGTTCTATCTAGAAATATTAATATCGATGCATACATTTTTAGTCGGGATGTTTTGTTAGGCCCGAGCTATATGTTGCATTGGATCATGTCCTATTATGTTAGCTTCTTTAATTTTCCAGTAATAATGTCTTTGTAACATTTACATTATATAGGTGAAAAGATTGCTTGGGAAAGTATAAAGAAAAAAACAAAATCAATTGATATGCTCTACAACCACAAGTTACGACTACTATCAAGAGACATAGTGCTAGGGAGTTTAAGTAAATGTAAATCATGCAATAATTTGCCTTATTCAAACGCTGCCAATAGGTTACATAATAATTAGTAAAAGTAATTGTCCATTACCTTCTCCTGTTGCATCTGCAGTTTCATCTGGATCGTCTTCTTCTTGTCTTTACACCGCTTGTTCTGGAACCACACTCGAATGACACGTGGCGACAGGTTGGTCATCTCCACCAGCTGTTCCTTCATCAGTGCATCCGGCCGTGGGTTGGCATTGTAGCAGGTTCTGCGGAAAAAAAAGTGCGACAAGGAAGATGTTAGCACCGGTTGATTCAATTATCACTATGTTAAAATTTCCCGATATGGAAAACAACGATGAGTAACACTTCGTTCGTAGTAAGTTATTTGAATAATTATAATTAGTCGCGCAGAGACGAGTGCCCGACGACGACGACGACAACGATGACGGGATGATAGTCGTGCGCAGCAGCGTCTTGTCGCGTTTTCTATGTTTGCTCACATCTGGCTGCCGCTGCCGCTAGTTGCAGAAGGGTCCGCCGCGTGTTGAATAGATGAATAAATTGTATATATTTATTTATTAATTGTAAGAGATTTTGCAGTCAGGTACTACATAGCCGCAGCACGGTAGCAGCCCTCCGATGGCAAAAGTCAAACAGTCAATGCACTTTGGGGCTAGATAGCGAGATGCATTCATTAGGGTTCTCCGCTGGCCACGGCTGGGTGATACCTATTGACCGCATCTAATAATGCACAGTTGAAACACTTGGGCAAAAATGTCTGCGACCGAAGCATGTTAAGCTCTGACCATGATTTTTCGCGGTGCAGCAACTGACCGGTTAGCGCCAGTCGGCAAATTGTATGCAATCTTAAAGGCGACGCGACTCATGCTTCAAAAGTGAATACATATAGGCGGGGGAATGGCGCGAGGTTGGAGGATATGCCGTTTAGGTGGAGTGTGTGTATTTTGTGGACGTGGAGTGTAAGCCTGTAAGCGATAATGCTATCGACAAACACCGTCATGGATGAAGGGATTGTTTGGTCGAATGGATACAATTGTGATTGTCCTCTTCATCCGGAGTGTCCGATGAATCGTTGGATGGTTTTGATGGGGGAGGTTTCAAGAAAGAAAGGATGGAAGAGGGATGATGGGAGGTTTTCTTATAGTGAATTTGTTTATTATCCAGGTTGGAACCAGTTCCAACCCGTGCGAACCCGAGCTTATTATTGCTATTAACACTGACGTTTGACAGGCAACAACCCAATCTTGATTATAGTCGCTATATTCATAGTCTGGCGGATAGAATCTCGGAAACCAATTGCGCTGTCAAATAGCGGAACCAATCGAGCAAATCACGACCAACAACAGAAAAGAGCACATCAGCTATTTTGAACAAAACTTCGGAAACCCTTTCTCGTGACTCAAGGCTCGCCTACGCAAACTAACACCATCTTTGGGTTGAGGAAAGCTTCCCCTAACGGATGATGCTGGTAATTTGCGTTCGATTGACGAGGAAAGAATAATCAACGTTTTGTTTTTAAAAGTTGATAGTACCTTGTTGGTCTACAATATATTGAATTGGTTCCGCTTTTTGATAGATTGAAATTCTATCCGCCAGACTATGAATATAGCGACTATAATCTTGATACCCAATCCAGGTTGGAACTGAATCATAAGGGCCTAACTGCGATGATCGATTCTCTTAATCGATTTGCTCTTTTGTTACTAACTCGCTCGTATCGGCTTCTAGTAGCGAAAACAACAATTTCGGAAAATTGCTTCACTTAAGCGTAGTAACACAAAGAGAAAATCGATGAAGATAATCCATCATCGCAGTTAGGCCCTTATGATTCTGAACGCTAGATCAACACAGGGCCTATTTACAATATTATTTTAGTGATTTTGGAACTTAAAAAATCATCCAGGACATAAAACGGATTTGAAATCTCTTCCATGAAATTTTAAATATTCCGTTGAATGAAAAGTTATTAAAATTTTGGGAACATTTCAATCCAATATTATTCTTCAAAATCCCGAAATTGATTAATATTTATAAGATTCTTCTAGTTCACGACTTATTGATGTTTTGGATAATATTCATTTTATGAAAATGTTTTCAAGATGTGTTAGAAAATTTAATTTGCTTATCAATATATTGGGATCATGGAGATTTCTCTATACCTCAAGATCTTAAAATTCGATATTTGTGCATGATCCAAACCAATTAGAAATCATGGAGATTCTTGGATACAAAAACTTCAAAACTCTGGGCCCTGCCCACATTTGCCCATATCTCTGACTGACCTTGATAATTCTGTAACTTCAAAAATTGTTTAACAATTTTTGACTTAGAAAAATGCGGCATCACCAATTGAGGAAATTTTATGATGTGAGAAGTTCCAGCAGAAATAGCAATAACAAATTGAATTTTTGAATAGACCTGCTATGAAATTGAAGGTATGAAACTTTGTTTAATTATTTGTTATGGACAGTGATTCTCATTTTTGATAAAATTCGGCCATTTTGGATCTTGTAAAAATCTCATAATGGCGTCTTTGAAATTTATCAAAACATTGAAGCACGGAAGCGGCATCTCTTATCGAAATGACGTCTGAGACAATGTTGTAGAAAATAACACTTTCTGGGATAAGTGAACAAAAAATGTGTATTTAATTTATTTTAACACTCGAAAACTGACAAAAATCGTAGAACAAGAACTTTTGGATACATTTTTGAACTTTTTTGTCAACGTGTGTATTTTTTTAACAGAAAATTATTAAAAATGTCTCAAACATTGTTTTCTGAGCATAAAAAAACGTTTAACAAAAGGTTAAGAAATTTGATCAAAAGTTCTTGTTGTTCAATTTTTGACAATTTTGGAGTGTCCATAATTTTTAACATTTCGAAAGTTTGTATAAGCTTTAATATAAAATAAAAATTTAAAAAATTGGGCCAGCAAATTTTAAGAAATTAAGGTTTTTAACATTTATTTTTGAATTTTTACTTGAAAGTACTAAAAACATTTTTTTAAATATTTTTTTTTTCCAGAAAGACATTATTTTTCTCTACAATTTTGTCTCAAACGTCATTTAGATCAGAAGTGCCGTTCCCGTGCTACAATTTTTAGAAAATTTCAAAGTCATGTTGAAAATTTTATCAGATCCAAAATGTCCGCAACAAACAATTATGTAAAGTTTGATGCAAATCTGAGAAGGTCGAGCTTTTCCGATTCGTTATTTGGCTTGGACTAGTCTTTCCAAGTAACAATTTTGGTTTTATGAGGGTTCTGTAGACCATGATTTAGATTTGTAGAATGCTATAACTTGATAAAACCTGCAATGTTACTTGGGTTGTACGCCGCCGCCGCCGGCACTTTTTCACACGCTGACGCCGCCGACGATTTTGAGTCAGCGCGCCGCCGTGATAAGTTTTGATACGCCACCGTTAAAATTTTGGATACGCCGTCTTTTTTATACTTATAAATTTTGAAAAACGCGTTTCCCGTCAACCATTGCACATTATAAAACACAAACCAGTTCAAAATTAAAAAAAAAAAAACAATACCGTGGACTCCCGATAAACTGACACGCCGTGCAAATTATTGCTCGAACGACATTTAGCAGATGGAATGGAGAAAAGCGAAATGGAACCATACGAAACGAACTCAGAATCAAAACAAAACAGCAAATAAGTCTATCAGAAACTCCCTTTTCCGATTGTCATAGGATTACTAGAACTTCAAATTAAAAATGATCTCCTATTGATGAATTTACGTTACGGGCGACCAGCAGATGGAAATGATGTTAAAATGATAATGAAGTTTTGCTACCTGTCAAATCGTATGGAATAGTTTTTAAGTACATCTACAGTTTTGTAATTGAAAATCTGAAAACTAGGTGTCGCATACCAGATACGTTGATAGAGACGCGCAAGGAAAATTTCTGTCAAAACAGCAGCACGCTTTTTGAGGGATCTTTTGACAATGTCACTGGCAACCATGTTTCTTCTAGTGGCTTCAAATGACTTTTATACAGTGCCGCAATGCTGTTGAGAAAATTTGAACGTTCGACCGGAACTGAATAAAAATGATTTTTTTTTTCTTTATTAAAGAGATTTTTAGCCATAGGCTAGTTCATGTCTTGAATAAAAATGAAGTGCGCGGCAACATTTTGCAAAAATAAAGCGAAGACGAGAGATGGCAGTCGCTCAATGACAGTATAACTTTTGTCATATTTTACTGTTTTACTTGCAGCGCAATTATTTGTATTACCATAAAACTAAATAAAACTAATAAATGTTGTATTTACTTGAATCAACAATAAAAAAATAAATTACAGATATCAAATATTTCGTGAAAATAATTAAACACTTTTTTCATCATTCAGAACAATACTCCTTTCGGACGAATTGAGCGAACAGTAATGTTTATTTAGTTAGCTCGTTTGGTTTAGCTTTTGACGGTTCGTTTGGTTGTTCTTGCTTCAGTCTATGCGTGTCTCTATTCAACGTCTCTGAGTTTTACCTTTGCGTAAATTCATCAATAATATGCACGAAGTGTCGTTAATGTCGTTCCACGCAGGGTTGCTTCCACTCACTTGCTATAATAAATGGTTTTTGTGAATTATGAAATCATTAGGTTTTATAATGATAATTAGTACTTTTAAGTTACAAGAAAAGGTTGTAAACCATGTGTTTGACACAGAAAACCTGTCATTATTGCTTTCATTGCGTCACAATCAGCAATTTTACGATTCGTGAGCGCTCACTCTGACTGAACGCTCACGAGTCATAAATTCGCTGCTTGTGACGCACTGGAAGCTTAATTGACAGGTTTTATGTGTCAAATACATACTTTCCAACCTCTTCTTGTATCTGACAAGTACAACATATCATTATAGCATCCAATAATTCCATAATTTCGAAAAATATTTTTTATAGCGAAGTGAGTGGAAGTAACCCTGGTTCCACGGCACACAAAAGGACATAGCTAGATAGAGCTGGAATTAGGGCGTAACAACTTTTGTAAACAATTACTTCTCTCGATGATTTCTATGATTCAAGGCACACCAACAAGTGTACGACTTCCCCTGCCCGATAGTTATGTTGGTTTGCGTGGGCGAGCCTTGGCTTTCTAGAAATCATCGATAGAAGTCATTGTTTACAAAAGCTGTTCCGCCCGACCCGAACCCATTATTTACATATCCGTACCCAACCGAACCTGTTGAGGTACGGGTCAGGTTTCGGGTAAAAATGTCTGTACCTGACGA